TCCATCTTCATCTCTCCCGGAAGAGTTCGCCGCTCGCGTCGCCCGCTGCCGTAAAATCGCCCGTGCCAACACTGCTGCCATTCAGGACAAGAGAAAAATCGACATTGATGCGAAGCGTCGAGTTGTTGTGTTCCGCCCAGGCGACGAAGTCCTTTTGTGGACACCTGTTCGTGTACCTGGGCTCTGCGAAAAATTCCTTCACCGGTATCTCGGTCCATACACCGTCCTGGAACGAACATCTGAAGTCAACTATCGCGTTGCTCCTATCAACGCGGCTTCTGATCGTCGTCGCCGCCACACCGAGATCGCTCATGTCTCTCGACTGAAACGATATATTCGGCGCCCCCAACTCTTTCTAACTTGCTGCCCTCTTTCGCGAAGGGGGGAAAATAGTGTGAGCGCTGACTATGTACTTCATCTTCATCTGTATGACCAAACCATTGTATTGATCATCATCGTATGTCACGCGGGCTGGCTCTCTGGCTCGTGTGTCTGGATTAAAAAAAGATAACCTGGTTGCTGCTGTACCGGACGTGGTCTCATAATATATATATATATATATATATATATATATATATATATATATATATATATATATATATATAGGCAGGCATGGTGGTTGAGGGGCCGTAGCGTTGCAAGTAGTCAAGTACATCCTCCGTGAGCGGTCACAACGGGGTTTATTTCGATGTTGCGGCCTAGAGTCTGGCCTTCATCAGGATTGAGGGTACAGTTTGTTGGTGCTCAACTTTATACAATCTTGAATCAGAGGGGGAGAGAAAGAAAGAGAAAAAAACGAAAGTAAGAAAGAAGAAAAAAAGAAGAATATAAGGTGGACTCCCCCGGGCGCCCTCTTTCACTCTTCCTTCCCCTTCCCCCTCCATCTCTCTACCTTTTCTTCTTTTCACCTTTAGGATGTCTGCTCTCTGTGTATCCTTCCTTTCACTAACGCATTGTTCTCGACCAGATGGCGCCTCCTGGCTCTGGCGGTTCAGGTATTCAGCTACTTGTACATGAAGAATGTCAATACAATATGGAGGAAGCGAACCAGAAAATTGACTGGGAAATACTTAGAAAACAGCATGGGGCCAAACCAAAAAGTATATTGGTTAAGAAAAAGGTGAAGGAAGCTGAGACTGATCAGTGGAGAGTTGGCATGATTAAGAAGCCAGCACTACAGATCTATCGAACTTTTAAGTAGGAAATTGCCAAGGAAAGGATCTATGATAATACTCGGGGTGTTTCTCTACTGTTTGAGGTCAGGACGGGAGTATTGCGAACCAAGACTTACCGGGCCAAATACGAAGGGGTAGACATGGTATGCAGTGCATGTGGAGAAGAAGAGGAAACTGTCGAACACTTGATAATGTTCTCTAAAGGGCTTCGCCCTATAGTTCAGGATGATGGCGCAGAGTTTTTCAAAGCACTGGGGTTTGGGGACAGGGAGGGCAAAGAAAAGACTTTAAGCGGGTAGAACTAACAAGAAGGAGGTTATCTGATTGGTGGCTAAAGTCAAGGCACGAGTGAAAGTTAGACCCTTCACTGCAAAGTACGAGTCTTCAACCTCACTACTTAAAGGAAAAAATAAATAAATCTACTGTTTGGTTCACTAAGTATTACGGCTTGGTGGCGTTAGCCACCGCCCGATCTAAAGGGTACAGTCATATCAATCTATTAATCCATCCATCGTTAGGTTTGGGGGAAAAAGCGCTTTTTTAGGAAGTTTAAGTCTTTAACTACTCAGCGCCCCGTCGACATCTCGTCGTATAGAAAGAGGGGCGCCGCCTATTGCCGCAGAGGCTGGCAAGCGGATGCAATGGCAAGTTTTGCCCCCTTCTGGATTACGCGTGCTGTAGGGTCCCCCCGACTGTGCACAGGGTTGCTGTTGGGCATGTCATGTTTGGCACAATTGATTGGATAGTGAGGTAAAAACAGAAACAGACGACAGCTGTACTTAGGAAGAGTAGTTACACTTGGAATTATTTTGAGTGGTCCAGTGCCCTTCGCAGCTGCAGTGCCGCGCAGTCATCAATTTTCTCATTATCGCCGTTATTGTTTTCTAATGCTTTAATTGTTGCGAGTGTACCCAGATTCTCATTTATTCCTCTTTTGAGGGTGTTAAATCGGTGAATAAGGTTTGACTCTCGTTGTTCACGTTCTCGGTTTGATTTAAATCCCGTCTCTAAAGAGCGTTACTGATAGTTTCTCGAATGCATGGTCGGGAAGATTGAGATGTTTTGATAGGAGTAGATTTGGGGCTGATTTTGCATGGGCTCTGTAATTATTGAAGCGAATCCTAAATGGCGTTTCTGTTCGTCCAATGTACTGCTTACTGCACACGTTGCATTCGAGTAGGTATATCACATTAGAGGAATCGCATGTAAGGTTTCCTCGTATATTATTCGAAAACTTGGATTGTGTGCTGGTTGCTTTGTGTGTTTCTCGCATCTCCTTACATCGTGGCTTTAAACAAGGTCGGCATGAATTATTGGGGGGTGATGTATTAATTTGAGAGTGGACAAGTGTGTCTTTGAGGTTACGTGGTCGTCGGTAAACGACGCCAGGAGCGGATGGGAATGCGCGTTTCAGACGTTCACTTTGTTCCAGAATGTTGTAATGTCGTTTAAGGATTTTGTTTAAATTAGGGAAATTTGTACTGCAAGTTAAGCAGAGGTTTGTTCGTTGTGAGTCTTCTTGCGGTGGTCACTGTATAACAGTGGTTTCAAGGAACTTTGTTCAAGAAACTCTGATTTTAGCTTTCCCATAAATATGTTGTTGGTTCCATTTTGGTGCCCATAGCGGTCCCGTTGATTTGTCGAAAATACTCTTGCTTAAATTCGAATGAATTTATTTAGAGGACCATCCTCGTCAAAGTTGCGATGGCAGAGAAATCTGGGGTGTTAGATTGTCTATGGTCTGTGTACATGTTTTGTAATGCAGCTATGCTGTCATCGTGAGGAATATTTGTATACAATGAAGAGACATGAAGAGTAACCAAGTACGAGATTTTCGGCACACACAGACCTGCAATGTCTCGAAGAAAATGTGGTGTCTTTTATTTACGACGCGAGGGTGCATGGAATGTGGTTTACAAGTTTGTCCACGTACCCTGATATGGGTTTGGTTATTGAATTGAAGCCTGATATGATTGGTCTGCATTTCCGATGGAGGCGGAAATGTCGAGGCCCGTGTGCTCAGATTTGGGTGCACGTTAAAGAACCCCAGGTGGTCAAAATTTCCGGAGCCCTCCACTACGGCGTCTCTCATAATCATATCGTGGTTTTGGGACGTTAAACCCCACAAATCAAATCAATCAATCAATGATATGATTGGTCCACCTGGGTTACGGGGTTAATGAATTTTTTCGAGGATGTAGAAGCGAGCTGGATGAGGGTATGCTGATCGCACCAGTTTGCGAACAGCAACCCTGCGCACAGTCGTGAGGCCCCTACTTCACGTGTGATCCAGAAGCGGGCAAGAATTGCCATTGCACCCGCTTGCCAGCCTCTGCGGCAATACGCGGCGCCCCTCTTTCAACGACGAGATGTCGACGGGCGCTGAGTAGTTAAATGCTTAAACTTCCTAAAAAAGCTGTTTCCCCCCCCCCCCCCACCAAACCGCCAGAGCCAGGGTGCGCCATCTGGTCGGGAACAATGCGTTAGTGAAAGGAAGGATACACAGACCGCAGACATCCTAAAGGTGAAAAGGAGAAAAGAGATAGAGAGATGGAGGGTGAAGGAAGAGTGAAAGGGGGCACCCGGGGCAGTCCACCTTATCTTCTCCTTTTTTCTTTTTTTTCTCTTCTTTTCTCCTTTTTTTCTTCTGTTTTTCTTCCGTGTTTTTCCTCTATTTCTCTCTCCTGCTCTGATTCAAGATTGTGTAAAGCTGAGCCCCAACAAACTGTACCCTCATTCCTGATGAAGGCCAGACTCTAGGCCAAAACGTCGATATAAACCACGTTGTGACCGCTCACGGAGAATCTACTGGACTGTATATATATATATATATATATATATATATATATATATATATATATATATATATATATATATATATATATATATATATACATATTGTATTATGCTGTAAATTATTATCTATGTACCTTCAAGATACTGACGCTCTGTTTCAGCATAAATAAAATAAAATATCACGCCGGAAATATAGCACAAGGTTATTATTGGTTATGTTCATGTTGAACAAACAAAAATTGTACTTTTCACGTAGTATCATACGGTAGTTTTGGAACGTTAAACTCCAGATATTATTATTATTCTTTTTTTCCCCGTGGTTCCCAAAAAGTACCGCGCGGAAAGACTTGTCGAAAGTGGTAGCGTCTTGAGTTTAGAAAAGTGAGCATACACTGAAAAACGAAGTTAAATGAAGGCGAACTTATTATGTAGGAGATTCAATTCATCCATAGTACGGTATATCTTGCTCTTTTTTAGCGTCTAGTTAATACAAATAGGAAGAACTAGTGGTGTACTCAGTTGTGTACATAGCGTGTCAAAATGTTAGCGTTCCGGGTTTGTTCACCTCGAAAGCCGTGCATCTCGAGAATTAGTGACATATGGTGCACTCCTTCAATGATGAAGAGAACGCTTAGATAGACACCTCGCGTGGGTAGCCTGAAGGCTAAGTGGTGGTTAGGGCCTGGCGCTTCATTGCATGCGTGTTCATTTCAAGTCAATCATTTTACAAATACTGTTTTACGTCCCCAAACCACGATATGATTAAAGACGGTGTAGTAGAGGGCTCCGGAAATACGGGCCATCTGGTATTTTCAACGTACACTGACATCACACCTGTATATGGGCCTCTACCTCTTCACCTCCATCAAAATGTGACTACCACTCCCGAGATCGAACATGAAACCTTTGGATCAGCATCCGAGCACTATATAGCCATTGATGCACCGAGGTGGACTTTCAATATTGATGAGTTGAAGGTTTCAAGTCATCGAAGTATTATGAAGAATGAATGAAAGAGGTGAACAATGCTTTAGGTTGATGAAGACATGTGTATTTCGAGGATGAATGGCACGCAAGTGACAATACGCAGACGTTTATCCGCGGTGGCGTCCTCCTAAGGGGATCTTGACGCCGACTCCCACTTGACCCTGGCCGTGGCTGCCAGTGGCTGGTTGCCTCTGGTGGGAACCCTCTCCCCAGATGGAGATGGTGGGTCCACGGTTGGGTCGGTAAATATCGTGGTGGATGCTGCCGCTCACGCTATGCTGGGACCCGGAGCCGCCTCCTTGCACATCGATCCGAGTCTGCGCAACATACGAGAATGCAGTCGTTGCGGATGGAAGCACCGCTCCGCTATTTTTGCTTGTCCCTTTATGAACTTCACAAGAACGCAAAGCACAGTATAAGAAAACTATGCACAATCCTTGTGTATGCCTACTTCAGCCATGATGATGACGACGGTTGGTGGTAATGGCAAATGAAAGCTGAAGGCAATAGCTGCTGTGTGTTGCATATAAATGCCGGTATTGTGTACGAACGGACAGCCTTTTTAGCCGTACGGCAGCGTGTTCTCGCTGAAGCACGAGCGTGACGCCATTATTTCTAAGTAACCGCTAAGTATTTGAAGACATGAAAAATGCTGGAAGACAAGGTGTCGCTAGAGCTAATATTTCGGCAAGCGGTCTCTTGTAGAAGCAGTTTTGAGGATGCTGCTGCCTTAAAGAGTACAAGGCTACCTGTCCAAAGGGTGGTTACAGCAACACCGTGTGTTCAAGGAAGTTCCATCTCCTCAAGCTTTATGTTGCTTTGAACTTCTGTTTCATTTGCGAAGTGTTTGCGCAGATTCAAGGTGTGGAGTACCAATGAAGCACTGTTAGTTTAGAATAGATAGCGGGAAGGGTGAAGAGGAAGAGCTGAAGCAAACACTTCAGGGGTACTTCAGGCAGAAAAAATATTAACAAATGCGGGTGCAACTGCTCATTGCGTACCCTTGGTGGTTGTGGAACCTTGGGCAGGTCGATGCGTGGTGGTGGTACTCTAATCGTGTCAGGCCTCTGTAACAAAAAAGTGTGTCAGGTCGTTTGTCTTCGCCCCACCACCCCGTAATCAGGTGAGCAGAAGAGGTGATGGCATGGCTTTACTTTACACAATTCGTTCAGAATCAAAGAACCAACACATCCAAAATAAGACTAGCAGCACTCCTAATTGAAGTGGAAGTCACCAAAAAAGTACATTGTCGGTCACATTGTTTCAAGGTGTCATGCAGGGTCTTTCTCGCTGAAATATAACGATATTTAGACCAATATTCATATGTCTACATTTGCTACCACGCTACTGATCAATTTTTATTTATGTTAAGTAACGCTTTATATTTTTCTAGATGTGCAAAATTTATGTGAGAAATGTTGCTTACGTGTTGTGCGTTGATGAGGACAACCACTGAAAAGAAGAGAAAAAAATGTATACTGTTTAACAGAGTGTTATAAAATACGTGGTTCAAGGCATCATGCACATGTCTGCATATCTGTCCAGTTATCACGAGAAGACAATTATATGTTCACGCACGCTTATATGTCTCGGTTAACTGACCTTCCAGCATTTTCTTTTCAGGGTGTCTGCCATGGTGGCTACGCAGTTAAGGTGCTGCTAAAGAACGCGGGTTCGATTTCCTACGCCACTGTAGCTGCTTTTGCTGGGGGCAAAGTGCGAAAAACGCCGATGTAGTTGCTGCGTTATTCATTATTGACTCGCTCTTTCAGCAAGTAAAATCCAATAATTTATTATTTTAGAGCTTGTCAAAACACTTCATGGCGAAATTCACGCGAAGTACACTTCCTTACAAAAGAAAACGAGGCATATGAGAAAAAACAAACAAGCAAATATCCTGCCATTTCACTCATGCTTCACGAAGAGAAAAAAGTTGGCGTTTCTATAATAGTCTATCGAATAGGATTACTGAATATTGATATTGCACGAATACGTAAAAATCAATTAGGAGCGCGCTTTCCTAAATACCACAAGCGTTATCGCTTGAATCGCGTACGCAAACGAACGGGTTATGCTTCGGAAGTTTGTGAATACAGGTGGCTGACGACATCGAAGTTTTTTCTCACCCGACAAGATGAGCAAGCAGAGCAGGACAATTCTCGAAGACATGGCGTTGTCTGGAATTGAGCTATCACTGGTGGCACCCTCTGCTGTTTCAGCAAAAGAAAGTCAGACACGGGTTCTACTCAGCCGCCGTGGCTTATAAGAGCCCCACGGGGCCGGGATGAAACGAGAGTGAGCGCGATCGGCCCGCGCTATCTGTTAGAACCTTGCACGCCGCGGGTATTTCCTGGACGGCACGTGTTGCACAGTGTGATGGTGTAATGTGGGCCCAGGATCCGGAATAAATCAACCGGCAGTCAGGTGACTCTGTACACACAACACAGACTTTAACACAACCGATAACTCTTACAATTCACACACAACACACTATAGCGTTCCTTATTTACATGCCAAACGTCCTACGCGCCTCGGCACAAGAACTGTCCTACTCGCCGTTGTGACTGTTGCCGCTGCGGCGAGGTCGGTCGTCACCGGTGTTCCTTGTGCAGTCACGCTGCCTTGACCGTGGTGAGGTGGTGGTGGTGGTGATGGTGGTGCTGCAGGCCGGTAGATCACCAGGCCACTGCAGTGCAGGTTAATGGCCCGTCGCCAACATGAGCCGCGGCCACCTCGTGCCACCACTCGGGCCCCAGGACCTCAGGCCACGAACAGACTATGCTGCCGGTCCCCGTGTCAGCGCCGGCCACAGAGCGGGAAGCCAGCTCACCAGGTCCGCAAGGCTGCCGGACACCTGGTTGAGTGACGCAGCCCGAAGCAGGAAGCCAGCTCACCAGGTCCGCAAGGCTGCCGGACGCCTGGTTCAGTGATGTCGCGACCCGAACCACCGACCAGCAGCTGCCGTTCCAACTGTGTCACGCTCCAACTGCTCGCGCGAAGACGAGGAAAAGGAAGCGCGTCTTCGCCTCCAAGGCGTACCGCAGAGCAGAACTGCCGTTCCCTTTTCGCCCCGTCACGGGCCACACAATCCACATCATCACACCACCCTCCACTTAAGATAGTTGTGAGCAACTATTCCACTCCACGCCAGGCGGTGAGTAGGCAAAAGTGCAGGCGCGTTTGTAAAGAGGGAATAAGTTCACACGAATCCGAATGGTTGTGATCCACAGAGCACGTAATGAAAAAAACACACATGAAAAATACACTAGTGGAGAAAGATTAGAGCGATTCAGATGCGACTTAAGTAGTCCGCTCCTACATTGTCTGAGCCTTTTATGTATTCTACGGCAAAGCTGTACTCTTGCATTAGTAAGCTCCATCGTAACACTCGATTATTGACGTGTTTGGCTGACTGCAAGTACCGGAGTGGCTGGTGGTCGCACTGAATAATGAAGGGTTTGCCGCATAAGTAAATGTGAAACTTCTGAACAGCCCACACGAGCGCTAAGCATTCACGATCTATTGTGGAATAGCGGGCCTCTCTAGGCAGCAGATTGCGACTAGCATAAGCAACCGGATGTAAAATATCGTTTCCACTGTTTTGCAGAAGCACTGCGCCGATGCTTGTGCTTGAGGCATCAGTACGGAGCACGAAAGGCTTCGAAAGATCCGGTGCTTGCAGTATGGGACTTGCGGCGAGCTTGTCTTTCAGCACGGTGAATGCTTTTTCTTGCGTCGGTCCCAACGATACGATGTGATGTTGGCCTTTCTTGGTAAGGTCAGTCAAGGGCTTGGAAATCTCTGCGTAGTTCGGAATGAACTGCCTGTAATAGCCCGTAAGACCGAGAAAGGATTGTACAGCTTTCTTCGTCGTGGGGCGCTTGGCGGCTAGGATCTTGTCCAGCGTTTTCAGCATTGGTTCTACCTTCGCCTCGCCAATGCGATGTCCGACGAATGTAATGGTGCGCTCTCCGATGTCACACTTGCTCGGTTTGATTGTGAAATTTGCATTGCGGATTCTTTCGAAGACAAGTCGTAAGGCTTCTATATGTTCATGCCATGTGCTAGTAGCGATGACCACATCGTCAAAATAATAATGCACATTCGGCAAATCACCTAGAACTCTCCTCATAAGGCGTGCAAATATCCCTGGGGCAGTCTTAATCCCAAAAGGCATGTATTTAAAGTGGTAGAGCCCCGACATGCTTGAAAATGCCGTATTTTCACGACTGTCTGGAGCCATGGGCACTTGCCAATAGCCCTTCGTGAAATCGAATTTCGAGAAAAATTTCTGTTTCCCTACAAGAGCTAGAACAACATCAATTGTCGGAATTGGCTCACTGTCGAAAACCAAGGTCTTGTTCAGCTCCCTAAAGTCAATGCACAACCGTATGGTGTTGTCGGGCTTCTTGACGATAACGATCGGCGCATGATATGGCGACTTTGATTTCTCGATTATGCCCATTCGAAGCATCTCTTGTACCTCTTTTTCGACGTTCTCACGCAGCGCTAGAGGAATCGGGTACTGAGGCACGTGAACCGGCTTTTCGATGACGAGGTCAAGAGAGCATTCGACAAGTTGTGTCTTGCCGGGAAGGTCCGAAAATATGTCTGCAAACTCTTCGCACAATTGTCGAACTTGTTGAAGTTGGTCTGTCTGCAGTTTGGGCGATATCTTGACGTCTGATGCCGTTTGTGTTTGGCATAGACTTAGAGAGGGGATGGTATCCTCAGAGTCGTTGCTCTCACTGTTCGCCTCTTCCCCAGGTGTTGCACTTGTAGTATTCACTGCAGCCACCTGATGAGGAGACGTTATTTCTCTTTCCTCATACTTCTTCAGCATATTCACGTGGAAGACCTTGATGCTCTGCCCTAAGTCAATTGCATAATCAACATCATTCTTGGCTTCAGCAACTTTAAACGGGCCCTTCCACTGCATGAGAAGCTTATTGGTGTCTGTAGGAAGGAGAATTAAAACCTTGTCACCAGGCCATAGCCTTCTGTGGTGGGTCTTACGGTCGTAATAAAGCTTTTGCTTTTCACGTGCTTTACCAAGCTCTTCATGAGCGAGGTTACAGGTGTGTTCGAGTCGGTTTCGAAGGTCCACAAGGTAAGTGTACGTTGTTCGCACTTCATTCTCAACGTTCTCGTTCGTCCACAGCTCTCTTAAAACACTCAAAGGTCCACGCACATGTCTGCCGTAGATTAACTCAAATGGTGAAAAGCCCAAGCTGGCTTGCGGTACTTCGCGATAAGCGAAGAGAAGAGGCGCAATGTAGCAATCCCATGACCGCGGCTTCTCCTGACACACCCTTTTGAGCATGGCCTTCAGCGTACCGTTGAATTTTTCGACCAATCCATTGGCCATGGCATGATATGGGGTGGTACAAAAAAACTTTACAGTTAGTAGTCGGCCAACTTCTTTCATGAGTTCCGACGTGAAACTTGTACCTTAATCGATAACCACTTCTCGAGGCATGCCCACTCGGGAAAATATTTCAAGGAGGGCTTCTGCAATACTGACAGCGTCGATGCTGGGTAGGGCTACTGCGTCAGGATAGCGAGTAGCGAAGTCAATGAGGGTAAGCACATAGCGGTTTCCCTTATCTGATCGAGGAGATAACGGTCCGATCAGGTCAATGGCGACTCTTTGGAATGGTGTCCGTATGAGAGGCATGTTGCCCAACGGAGCGACTCCGACTTTCCCTTTCGGCGTTGTCCTCTGGCAGACGTCGCACGACTTGACAAACCGTCTGATTTCTTCATGCATACCTGGCCAGTAAAAATCCCCAACGATACGGTCTGTGGTACGTCGCACGCCTTGGTGACCAGCCATAATGCCCTCGTGTGCAACCTTCAAAATGTGTTGTCGAAGTGTCCTTGGCACGACTACTTGCTTAAAGGTCCTCCCCGTAGAAAGGCGGTAATGTCAATACAGTAGACCAGCCTCTTCAGAAAAGTGGTACGTCGTGTCTTTATTGGAGTGAAACTCCTTCCCAATTTTTCTGAAGCAACTCTTCAGACTTGGGACGTCTTTTTGGCTCTCAGTTAGCTGCACTCGAGTCACTTCTAGCGAACCAATTAGCGGAATCTTCATCATACTCTCCGTCTTCCCCTGCGCCCGGACGACGGCAGAAAGCAAGGTTGACTTTTCCCAGCATGCCGGGATTTTGCTCGAACCAGTCGATTCAGGGAACAGGGCGTCAGAGTACTCCCAGGCAGTATCTGGCTCCTGTGGTCCTTTTACTCCTGGAATATTGCGGAGCACGAGGTCGTACAAAGGGTTAGTCATGCATAAAGCGTTTACATCACCAACGAAGTAGGGCGTGTGTATCTGTATGTTTGCTTCCGGTAGTTCCTTGGCCTTTCCATCCAAAAGCATAACTCTTGCCGTCTTCCCGGTCAGGCATCGATCCGGCACGAACTCGCGTCGGACGATGGTCGTGTTGCTCCCTGTGTCTCGTAAGACGCGTGCGCGTTGTCCAAGCACCCGTCCTTCGACCACTGGCATGTTGTCGACTAAGAACATAGGTTGGTTCTCGCACTTCTTGGGGCATTCAGCAGTGCATGTCTCATCCTTGGACTTGGCCATAGGGAAGTAATCCTGTTTTTTCTGTTCTATCATGGCACAAGACACCGACTTGTCTTTGCTCTGATCCTTGCAATCGGTGGCTTTGTGGCCAAGCCACCCACATGTTTTGCATTTCACAGACTCTTTCGGAACCGCACGACAATCCGGAGCGCTATGTCCTTTGCGGTGACACAGAAAGCAACTCGGCTGTTTGTACTGTGACATAGCACCGGGTTTATTTGCCTCCTTTGTATCATCTGCAATTTTACCAATGTTATTGACTCCCTGTGCTTCGAGAAAGCGGTCGGTGCACTCTGAAATGGATGTAAGGGTTTTGCATTCCCTCTCTTTCAGGAAGATGGCCAGCTTCGGATTACAGCAACGCAAGAATTGCTCGGCTATAACATGGTCACAAAGACCCTCAAATGTTTTGGGCACATCAGCCATCTCAATCCAGTTATCAAAATAGCTCGAGATCCTTGCTGCTAGTTGTTTCCCTGTTTCGCCATCTTCAGGCCGGGCTTTCCGACATTTGTCTTTATATCCTTGTGCCGTGAATCTGAAGCGCTGAAGTAGGGCTTTTTTCACTTTATCATAGTCGAGGGCCTCGTCAGCTGTCATTCGACCAATGACAGTGAGTGCCTCACAACTTAAGCACATGCTTACGGCTACTCCCCATTTATCTCTTGCCCATTCTTGCCCATTAGCCACGCGTTCAAACCTCTGCAAATACGCGTGCAGGTCATCGCGTCGCTCGTCAAATAGTGGTAGTAACTTCT